TTTTTATACAGTCGCTAAAGCTTATACGAATGCGATTCGACTATGCAAGGTGAAATATTTAATATTACACTATAGAAGTTTTATATGTCGTTAAATGTCGCTTAATGTCGTATTTTACCGTTTTTTTTACCGTTTAAATGTTCAACTTTCCATCCTTCTATCAACAATAAATGAGAGAGAGAGAGAGAGGGAGAGGGAGGGAGGGAGAGAGAGGGAGGGAGGGGGAGAGAGAGAGATAAGAGTGCACGAAAGAATTATATTGCAGAGTTATAGCAATCATACGCATTAATGATCAAAGAATGCAAAACTTATTGGAAAATGTTTTATAGAGTTCTCAACAAATTTGAATGTGAGATTAATAATATGCATAAAGAAAATTAAAAAAAAGAAAGATTTAAATTGCGAACGCATCTCGCATGAATGGTTTAACGACGTATCTTCATCACAGTACCCCATGCGCATTTTTTTATAATACATTAATTATATAATACTGTTGGAATTTCCTATATATTTCCAATATTCCCAACATTTCTTTCGATTAAAATCTAAAAATTATAAAATATGAGATAATCATTATTCCCTCTTGCTACATATGTATATGTATACAACACACACACACACACACACACACACACACACACACACACACATTCGTGCATGGAAAAAACTCAAATTTACTTTCATGTTTTTAAATTGATTCGCGAAATTCGGATTAGTAACGTAGATACGATTGCAATGCTGTCAGATAAGATACCTCCGACCAGGTGCCTTCTTGCCAGATATAATCACAAGCAACGCGTTGGCATAACCTCTGCGATTTTGGCTTGCGTGATTTCGATTTCGAGCACTGCTCGTCCTTAACGGGTATTTCCGGCCCATGGCTACCTCTTCTCATTGTACATTCCACTCTTCGGGTTTGAACCCCCGTACCGCAGGATTTCGAGCACTGCAAAATATTCCGATTCGGTACAAGCTAATCGTACATATTATATTTTTATTTTTGTTTGTATCACACGTCTATTATTCACTTACATAAAATGTGTTAAGAAACAATTCGTTTGTGAAAAAATACTTTTCCCAATACAATACTGTTTATCAATATTTTTCTTTTTAAAGCGCCTTATGTTCCTGATCTTCAATATTCTCTTGATGTTGATTCTTTACATAAAATTATATTTCGCGATAAAGCTTTTTTTTTTAAATTTAATTTTATCACATTTTAATTACAAAAGAGAGCGTTTTGATCATTATCTGCGCGATTTATTTGCTTCTGCATATTGAATATTAGGAAATTAAAGAAACACTTTTTTTTGTTGCGTTATTTTTATTCTACGACACTAATAGATGGCATTACTCACGGGGGTCCAATTAGACATTTTCCATCTGCGGACGATGTTAGATTCCAAGTTATTCTCCCTAGGGTTTTTAGGATTACTTTTGCAAGATTCTTTTTGACATCTCCGCACGTATTTCGGTTGTTCGTCAGTACATTCTTCGTCCGGCAAAATTTCACCACGATGACTTTGGCAGCGAACTTGGCGATGCTGGAATCCATGACCGCATCCTACGTTGCACTAAACCCATTCGAATCATTAATCGAAAGAATCATTAATCGAGAATACATCATTATACAAGTGTATAAATGTTCATTATACATACAAGAGAGATATTCTGCGAAAATAAATATACACTCGCGCGTTCGCGCAAAAAATATACTTTTATATTCTTTAATTTTTTATATAACACAAGAAACAATTTCCATAAAAGAAGATATATTTTCGTTAAGAGAGATTATTTTTATCAAATGTATTACACGCACAACATTCTACACATTAATAATATATAAGATTTTGATTTGCTTATATAACATTTAGAATAATTGTATGAATTTGTTTCGATACCTCGCTCCAATCACCGGTATTCCAAGTTGGGCATGGATGACGATTGCATGCAATTTTGACCATCGGTTGTTGAATAGAGTCGCAATAATAATCGGGCGCGACTACTCCCGTTTCCGAGGATATGCAGTTCACTATTCTACTTTTGTATCCAACATTGCATTTTTGTGAACACTGTATGTAAAAATGATGACATATATATTATAAATATAATACGCAAAATATTTTTAATAAACCAGAGATTATAAACCTTTAAGTAAATATATTTTAATAAACAAATCCCCCCCTCTCCCCCACACGAATAAAATATAAATAAGCCCACCTCTCCATAAGATCCTATGTGCCATTTGTAACCCGAATGGAACGTAATACCATTGCTGTCGATTTCATTATCCTGTTGAGAGGGATCTTCGCGCGGGGGATTGGATGAATAAGTGATGGGTGGCAGACTGACCTAGAAGAACGATAACAAACCCTTTTTTTACAAGCATTATATTATAGATATACAAATAATTGATATATGAAAAACAAATATCTTCAATATATCGTAATAATAATAATTTCTGTTCTTTAGATGCAATAATATAATGTTAATCTTTTTTCCTTCACTTCTACAGAGTGTCTGGTAAAGATTGTGCCAACGCTCGTGAGCGGATAGAGCACAGTAAACTGAACAGGAAATTCCTTTACCATTTTGCGATTTTCGTAATAATTATTGAGAAATTAATTAAAAAAGATCGAACAATTCGCGTGACTATAAGCGCGTGGTGAGAAAGAACGGCCCAGAGACATCCCAAAAGTTTGCGGTCGCTAGGCGCGCGAGGAAGTTTTGGAAGGAGCACTCTACAAATGACAACGGTTACGTACGAGCGGTACATAACGATGGATTCTCGCGTCCTAGCAACCCACACATCAATGGGTTGTCCCTTTTTACTGTGCGCTTATACTCACACGAATTGATCGATTTTTTAAAATTAATTTCTCAATAATTATTACGAAAATCGCAAAATGGTAAAGGACTTTTCTGTTCAGTTTACTGTGTTCTACCCGCTCACGAGCATTGGCATAATCTTTACCGGATACTCTGTATATAAATTTAGAGTCCTCCATCCTGTAATAATTATATTAATAATTTTACTTTTCATTTTTTATGCTTTATTATTTTATTTATTAATCTTATTATTACTATTTATTATTTACAATAGCGTTATTTATATTTGTGTTTAATATTTTTGTAAAAGTATTATTAAAATAAATAAATAATTCCAATGTAGACAATTGACTTACGACACTGAGACATGGTTTTAGTGTGCAAGCAATTGAAGTCTCCGGTTTCTCGGGTATGGGGCATTCGTCGCTCGTCACACCATCGGCATTCTGGCAAACGACTTTTCTGCGCAATATTCCTTCACCACATGTCACCGAACACTATACAACAACAAGAGATTAAATTCAACTTGATAGCTCGAGAAATAATTGATCGATGAACGATTTTGGGGTAAAACTATCCAATATACCATACCGGACTCCAATCGCCGGTATGCCAATGATAACAGGGATCAGCAGCGCAGATTTCTGTCGTTGCGATCGGTGTACCGCTACAGAAGGTACGCGGTACTACGCGATTCTCGACTTGGCACCAAGAGGCTCTGTGCCGTTTTCCCACGCCGCAAGTCACGGAACACTGCATAACAATATTTATTTCTCTCTCTGTCTCTCTCTTTCTCGTTTTTTTTTTATCAGTTTAAATTATGCAATAAATAGTACTGGATGAGACAAGGTACGACAGATTAAAATTTCGAAACGTACTAATCTCTTTAAAAAAAGAAAAGAATTAATAATAATTTTAAAATACACATTTTTATTTCCTGAATTTCTAAAGTTTTAATGTTAAAAAAGTATATTCTTCTACGATTAACACATTTCAAAAAAAATCTTCCAGATAGATTGGTTGACAAATGAAATGTCACACGTGTCTCTGTCTATATATTTTTTTCCTCTCTTACTTACCGGACTCCATTCTCCTAGATCCCATTTCGGACAAGCCTCTTGGCCGCATATCCTCTTGAGATGCTTTTCTTGTCTGGCGCAATTCTCGTTTCGTACCTGCCTCTCGTTTGAATCTACGCATATCGCGCTTCTTAATTGTACACCACCTCCGCACGAGACACTGCAGGCGTTCCATTCGCTGTAACTCCAATGAGCGTCGTCGCACGGGCCTACACACGATTGATGCTCGCTCGGTTTTTCAATATGCAAGCATGCATGCGCCGGTACTGGTCGCGGGGGATGCGACGGCGAATCTAACAAGATTTGAACGCATCGCCAAGTAACGGTTCGCACGCCTGGGCCGCAATGATTTGAGCATTCGGACACAGAAATCATCTGCCACCTGAAAGTATGTAATGGGCTTTTGGGACTACGCGTGATAAAATTTCATTGAGAAAAAATATTATTAAAACTTCGACTACGCTTTTGCACTTGGTTAAAATTGAACATGTGCGCTCATCTCTGTAAGCACAATTGAAATCTTTTCTAAATATTGTAATATATACTAATATATACAATACGTTATATCACGCTAATGTTGTGAAAAATTTAATAACATTTTCATGCGCGTGTCGCTTATACTTACTGCAGCGTGCAATATGCATTGCATATCTGACTGTCTTCTTGCGGCTTTTCCTCGCCTTTGCAATAATCGTCGGGCACCTCGTCCTTGTGCTCGGTGCTCCTACATATGACTTTACGATATTTCATTCCCTGGCACATTCGATTGCATGTCGACCAATCGCTGAGCAACCATGTGAAGCTGTTTAGAACTTTTTTCGGTACAGTATACTCGTATGTGATTTGCGGTGGATACACATTGCCTACGGATAACACCTGGAATATCGTATTTTCGCTTGAGAGTTGCATCTCTGGATAAGCTATTGCCGGCCGCAAACAATGTAATTCTAAATATAAATTTTAGACCTGCCTCCAAAATTAAATCGATGACAATAGGCCGGGAACTATTTAAACGTTCTACAACTGATTCTGGTCCGCTGTATTCGATGGTGACTCCCGGATGCACGATCACCTTACGGTGCATTACCATAAAATTGCCATTTAGGATATATTCGCCGTCTTCTCCAATTCGTAGCGCTGTAATGACAATACATTGTAAATTTTAAATTTTTACCAAATTAATAAGACGGTATAGCTTGTCACGAAATGTTTTTCGTGCACACGCGTGTGTGTAGAAAAACAGAATATGTTCTTCAAAATACAGCATTTAAATTCAGATTGCCATTATTATATTTTATATATCTACAAATATGTAACAAGAATATAGATTTTTTTTGTAAACTAATTCGCGATATCCATACTATTTTTTATATATACGTAGAAAATAAATATTGGATATTTTAGTTTTGATTTGTAGTAAAGCATGTATATGTATAATATACAATTTCCCCGAGTAGTTGGTAAATCTTGAATAATACTAGACAGGCCCATTTATAAAAGGCGATTCGTCAGGTCAGTTGGCAAAAATCTTTATCAGAGACAACCTGTGCGCGGAATATAAAGTATGCATACATTTTGATAGAAAAGTCTTACCAAGATAATTACTGTCATTATGAGAGTCTAGCCATCCGTGTTGTCTAATGTCGATATAGCTGCTACCGGCAGGGATTTTAGCTACTTTCGTGTAACCGTATACACTAGCGTTGTAGGAGCCCGTGATTCTCTGACAAGTAGAATTGTCGCCTCTACAGACTCCACAAGTGTCGAGTTCGGCCGTCGAATTCAAAACGTGATCGCATCCAGCCGGCTTGCATTGGCCGTTAACGCATATGTGAAAAGTGTCGGGACCACAGGGTGTCCCATCGATTACTTTATCACCTAACATGTAATACTGATTGCTTTCCACTTGGCAGTATAGTTTGCAATGGTCTTGCGGTAATACTGTAAAAGAGAGATTCGCGTCACAATAATTCTCGAATTGAACCCGAAATTGCTTTGTAAGGCTGCGTTCGGAAACATCACTCGTGTGCACACAAGGGTCGTTCTATCTTTGTTATTTACTAAAAGTTGAACAAAGATAGAACGATGCTGTTCCCGAACGTACCGTAAATAGCGCGAGTGACACGTTTCTCTTTCTAATTGCATTGGCAATATTGCAATAATCTCTATCATTACGCGTTATTATAGATACTTGTTAATAATGTTGAAGACAAAATGCTTGCAAATACAATACAAAGTGATAAAAAAAGATAGAAATGTTATGCCTGCATATAAAATCACCTATGCTATCGTAACTCTTAAAGTAATTGCCATTTACGGTAATTATTAAGTATCTATATTGAGTATCTATGAGTATTTATACTCGAACTATGCAGTACCGATAACATTGGCTAGAAAGAATATCTCTTTTTCGTAAGCATTGGACGTGCGTTAAAAAAAAGCGATATATTCTGAGAGATGGATCTCTATCCATGTCTTGGTTTGTTCGTTTCACACAAACCATATCATATCTTTCTCTCTTGGAAATTGGAGATTGGATCAAGTCGATCTTACAGTTGGAGATATATGAATTAAGGCGATATATACATAATATAAATAATCACACATAATATAAATAATCACACATAAAATAAATAATCGCTTACTTCTAGTGTATTTTGCATGCCACTTGACATCCCTAGCGAGATTTTGAATGTTGAAATTGTTGTTGTCAAATTTCGAGCATTGTTGTTCTCTGTAAAAGAAAAAAGAAAAAAGAAGGAATATGTTTTTCCTCTGGCTACTATGTATCACTATGTATCTCTCTCTTTCTCTCTCCCTTTTCCAAATGCCAGTTAATTGATAGATGTTTGCTCTCATAGATTTATTTCTCACTGTCTGTGAAATAGCGCCTTGATACGATATAATAATACATATTATTAGCACATACCTGAAATCTGAACTGCCTGGCGGGCACTCTCTGGTGCCGCAACTGCGATATTTGACGCGCTCGCCGATACAGTAATTGCCGCCGTTCTTTGGTGCCGGATTATCGCATTCACGATACTTTCTCTTGATACCGCCGCCGCAAGTCCGCGAACATTCGCCGTATCTTCCCCATTCGCCCCACTGCCCGTCTACCGGCTCAAGATTCCTGCGCGAGACACACTCGCCGCGATGACACCACTTGTCGACACCGCAGGGTGTACCGTCGGCCCACGGCATATGCTGGGTGTGACATTGTTGATGATGATCCCACAGTGGCGCGGTGCACCATAGTCTCCTACACACTGCCTGGCCGGTAACCAACCAAGCCCCCAATTTACTTCAATTCTTAAGTGAATTAAGCGCCGTAATGAGATAGCATTAAATAAAACTTATAGAGTGGTCAAGGAAAGATAGTACACACAAGCAGAAATAGTACTCATTACAAACAAAAATATGCATAATCAGCTCTCTTTTGTATCCTTCTTACGATGCCCATTTATTAAATATAATCATTAAAATACATTTTATATCATAAAAATAAAGAGCGAATAACATCCGTAAAAAATATCCAACGACATAAATTAATTGAATGAGGATAATGTAAACGCGAGAATGAGATGCATTCCTATGATTATTTGGGCTGCAGTTATATCTCGATCAGACGCGTAAAGAGAACGTTTTCGACTTACCATCACTCACCATGTGAGGACAGATTCTAGATCCATGTCCAAAGACGAGCTCACATTGTTTGTTTTCCGAATAATCCTCGCCAGGTAATCGACCATCCTGTCTCTCCATCGTTTTGTTTGGTTCGTCTAGCAAACAATTGGCATATCCAGCTCTGAAACAAAAATTGCTACTTGATTAAAGCATTTCAAATCCTGCGAACTTTATGTATCTTTGTTGCGAAAGACAGTATGTATTTAGACAGTCAAATCGCATATTTTTGAGTGATACTTTTCATGACAACGCATAAAATATAGAAATGGACGAGAATATAATACCTACGTCGTTTAAAAAATCTCGTTAAACAATATTTTTAAGAATCGACCGTGACTCGTTTCGATCCCTGCGCTGAAAGACTCGCGACATTGCCTTTCCGATAAATCGATCGGAAAAAAACGCACCTTTAACACACACGCACACATTTTAAATTATAATGAGTGACAACATTTAATTAATTGGCTTGTCCAATAGAGATACAATTTAATTATCTGTTATTAGCTTGTAGAAACATGAAGGGTATCTATCTTATCACCAAGCGAACTTTCTCTCAATTATGGACTTCTTTTTTTCTGGACAATTTTGAATCGATTTTTCTTCTCGACGTGTTTCTTGTAAAAATGTGTAAAGATTAAAAAAATTACAATAAATGATAAACTCTTCTGACATTTTGCTAAAGAGAAAACGGCTCAAATTTGAATCGAGCAGTTACAAAGAACATAATTTAAAGGGATACTATTATGATGATAGATTATAGCCATTTTTACGTTCTTTCAGTCTTTTAAGTAACGCACCAAAATTTTTCAAATTAGATATAATCATTTAGCTGAAAAAATTTTAAATTTTAATATTTAAAACTTTAATACACCGATAAAATATTCACAATAATCGAAAAATTTTATTTACTATTACAAATTATTTTATATAATCGGAATAGTGAGAGTAAAGTTTTTGCCTTTGATGGATTAAAGATTTAGTTGCATCGCTACAAATAGAAAAATAGCGAAATTAATCTAACGACAAAATCTAACATGGCATTGCATACTATGTGAAGCAGAGGTCAATTACTAACGATCTCTCTTTTACGGAATGCTCCAACACGTCATTTATAACCGAGTATTATGCCAATTAATGACTGACTCACTCGAGAAATTCGGTGACATAGTATCGGGAACACTTGGACCATTCCCAGGGAAAAGTATTATCATCCAGCATGCGGGACATCACGTTGTGTACACCCGAACGATTCCTGAAACCTGCGCATTTGGCATCGTCGTCGTGTGGCATGTTGAGCCTGTAATGCATTCCGAATATTTTTTCTAAGTGGATTTTATAAGAACAATTGCATCATGTACGAAATCAGAAAAGAAAAAAAAAGAAGAAATTTTATAAGATTAGAGGTTTATCAAAAATGTCGAGAAAAATGCATCTTTCTCATGGGGCGAGTACATAGCAACAAGACTTCACACAAAGAATCGCTCTATAACTCGGTACAAATGATACAATATATAAGTTGCAAAGAACAAATAAATCGCATATTATATGACTAATACTTACACGTGACCAATCTCGTGCGCGATGGTAAACGCCGCGGCTAATCCATTATCCTGTACGATGGCGCATGAAGATCCTGGCGAGCACATTCTACCCAACTCAGCCAAGCCCAATGTATCGCAACGTTTTTGACCCGGATTGTGGCATAAATTTTCTCTAAAAATTTACTTTCCATTTACACCAATGTACGTAACCAATGGATTTTGGACTTTGATTTTGTGTGTGTGGGTGGGTGTGTGTGACAATTATTTTGACAAATTTGAGAGAGAGAGATATCCGTATAAAAAAATTTGGAAAATTCATCATTTGCAATTATCTAACTTTTTTTTTGTATGATATTAAACCTCTTATATAATAAGAAAAGTAACTAATTACTAATTTTAATTATCTAATTTTAATCGCTTATAATTAGCCAAGAGACTTTACTCTGACTTTGTTTTATACAATATATGTAAAAAAATCTTCAACGACAGTTTTATATCGTAAAAAAGAATGTATATTTCTACAATACAGATTTTTTATACAAACCTGGTTAAAAGAAGCGCAGCATCGTGATGTTCCGGCGAGGGTTCATCCGGATTGTTGCGTTTCTGCCACTGGCAAAATTGTTTCAGCATCTCGGCCGCCGCGATTCCGTCGCTTCCGCTATGTTTGATACCAAATACCTCGTCAGTCTTGATAATCTTCATCACAGCTATACTCACCGGATTGCCGATGGATTGGTCCTTGTAAATACGAGAAACCTATCTTTCCAAAAGGGCAAATAATAACATATAATCTCGCAATTCGACATATAATTCGCAATTAAATTATATTGCATGTACAAAAAAATTTACATGGTTTAATAAACTCAATTTTTTCCTCCGATTTGATATTTTCAGCTAGTTCTTCGGCACGCCTGCAAATTGCACTCTTTTTGTTTTTGATAATGTTTTGTTCTTAATAAAATTCTCATCTTTTTATATAAATCGATAATCATCTGTATATAAAACTATTGAGATAAGTAGTTCATTAGAAGGAGTACATTACATAGATATTTTATTTTGTATAATTATAATTATATCGATATTCAAATATAATTTAATCATATAATGCGATAGTTACGATATCAACACAAAAATTAAATGCACGTAAGAATATTGACATAAAATATAAAATATATGTATCTAGTTCTTGAGAGAATCTTATCGTTAGCTATCTTAAGATACGCAAAATGACGAGAGGAATCGATTGTCGTAAAGAATATATTACAAATATATAATTTCATTATTAAAAACAATGCAAATAATGCATACATTTCGTAGCTGCATGAATGCAGCCGATCGCCAAAAAAAAAAAAATTGATCATCGATAAAGATTGGCAAAATATAAAGACGTTGAAAATTATACGTATAACAATCGCAATCGCACTTTAGAAGTGAATATGAAGCATCCATTTCAATCTTGTCTGCTTTTTCATTCATAAAAAATCACGTATCTTAAAACCGATTGATAGTTGCTGGGAAATACGATTGAATCACATTGAATGAACGAGGAGCGTGGGTTCGTGAAAGCAAACTTCTCACAGGATGTTGCCCCCGCAAAGTAAGGTGTGGCCTTCGCGTGGGATACATAACTGTGGCGTAGCGTACTCGATAATGACCGCTATGACGAGGCTAATTGTCAAATTACATCGAACGGATATCTTCCCATTTCCTTTCTTTCTTTTTTCCTTGTGTGTGTGTGTGTGTGTGTGTGTGTGTGTGTGTGTGTGTTCGTTGTTATATGACTACGTTTTTTCATCAGAAATTTATTTCGCAATTACAAGCTCTCATTTCGTACGTTTCGTTTTCCATCTTTTGAAGATGAACAGCACTATACTGCTGCTCTTGATCCTCATCGACATTTGAAAATTGTCGTGTCGTCCATGACAATAGTATTTCCTAATTTATTGTTGGATGTCCTTTTTTTTAAAATTGCAGATTGTTTCTTTATCTCTTCACAATTTAAAGATTTATCTTTTCTTAGCATGATATAAAGGGAGATTATTATTTATCGCAACTTTTTCTTATTTTTAATACTGTACGTTTTTGCAACAAAGCTTCAAATTAAAATCCTTCATAAGTAAAGCCATAAGTATTCTCTTGGAATCAACTAATTATGCTTTCATCCATTTTTCTCTCCCCAAGATTTACATTCGAAAATTATGTTTGCTAGGAACTCTTTATTTTCAAATGTTAACTACAGAAATATTTCAATATTTTTGCTATCAAAATTATTTATTCTAAATTCATCAAAGATTGTTAATAAAGAAAGAGAGAGAGAGAGAGAGAGAGAGAGAGAGAGAGAGATCTGAGATTGCGAGTTGTGAGATCATCCTATAATATATACCTGTGTAACATGAGTGTAAAAAACGTGCCGATCGCGTAATCTGTCATGAAAAGAAATGTGCCTAATTGCGCGGTATTATCGTAGAAAGTTACGTTCAAAATTGGATATATTATCAGGAATAATATATCCAAGGATAATATATACCCACCGTGCTCATTAGGACAAGAATGTAACTGACTAAGCCGCTGCCATGATATTCCACCATTTTCGCATCCGCCACCACCATGATCTCGATGAAATATTCACGCGGTAAGGCTCGCCGTGATCTCCATGTTACGAAGGAATCCGAGTCCATTTTTGGATACTTCTCGTTCTGGTAGCTGTGTTTACGTTACATGTTATAAAAACTGAGGCTGATTAGACGTACAATATAAATGCTTTTAGACACGCACACTACTTTTACGGCCATTCACTTTACACTAATTCTTCGCTAATTCAGTATCTTGGGCGGAGCATTAATAAATATCTCAATTGAAAAATGTTTCGATAAATTTATCGCGTTAAAAAGCTCCACGTGGTCACTGTGGTCGAAAATAATATATATATTTCGAATGTACATATATTGTGTGTGCGTGCGCGCGCGCGTGTGATATGTATATATATATATATATATATATATATATATATATATATATATATATATATATATATATATATATATATATTCCTCTTTAATACAAAATGTTTGCATATTCGTTTGTGTCTCTACCTGTCGTCGTAATCCACCTTTTGGGAAAAATCCAGACGGTGCACGGTCTGTTCTGCGAATCGCTCGTATTCCCGCTCGTCTTGCTCTTGTTCCAGCGATGCGGTTTCTCGTGTTGTCATCAATGATCTACGCTCTCGCGGACGTGCCCCGACGTAAATTTTATGAGCAGAAGTATCGTCCGTTAACAAGGCGGGTCTGTCGTCCGAGTCATATGTATCTGTAATGTATCAATAATGACGAATAAGATAAAATCAATTTTTCTTTAAATTTAGATTAAAATCTGAATTATATGCATATAAGACATCAAAATTACGCATTTGAATTCAAATTTATAAATTGGTGGCGGGTATCTCGAAAATATCCCATGTACAAGATAAATTTCTCTCAGATTCAGAACAGTATTATTATGTGTGTTTTTGTGTGTGTCGTTTTTGCGAGCTACATCGAGAAATATTGAGACAAATGAGATACCTTTTCACATATATAAATCTTCGACTTTTTAATCGCAAGATTGGAGATACGGCCTTTTAAAGCTCGGGCAAACTCGGAACGCGAAAAAATTGTTTTCGGGAAACAAAAATATCAGAGTCAATAATTGTATCGTCGCATATACGCAAATTCAAAACAAAGCTTCCTCTATGAGGAAGCAAAATGGACATTATTAACTAAATAATCACAATAACGATAGATAAGTAAAGAAATGAGAAAATTTCGACACAGATACGGTATCAACGACTTCGTTTTGTGGGCAGAGTACGCGCGTCGCCAAGCTGTCTCGATGGAACATCAGAATCCGCCCGAGGGAAGACGTAAATGTGCCTGAACCTGTTTTGAGATACAGGTGGTCGTGCGAGTATACAGCGAGTGAGAAAAGACGACGCGACGCCTTTTCCTCGAAATCTTATGTGAAGCTTCATGCGGTCGTGCATTTTGAAATACATGAATCAAAATTTTTTTGTAAATCAATGCAAATATGTTACGATTGCGATCGTGATCGTGACCGTAATCGCGTATACACAATGGGAAATAAATAAAATATTTTCAATGTACACACCTTTGCAGGCGTGCACGCGTTACCAATCATGACTATAATAGGGTCAATAGTATTGTCAATAGTAGTGAATCAAGGTATATTGAAACTGTGGTTGTAAATATATAATGGTAAAAATAAAATTATTTTGCGCGCGCGCGTGAAATGTATCTAGTACAATATGACTTACCTATCACACCACAGTTGCGACTCTCAACTTTGTTCACGGGAATATGTTGAAAGTTGGAATTATCGTTCGAGTTGGACACTGTCGCGGGTACGCGGTAGATTGCGTGTTGTAACGAAGATCCAAGTGAATCCTTGTCGCCCTCGCGCCAATGTTCGGTAGGTTTAATAAAGTAGCTTCCCATTGACGTTTTCACGTGACCAGTCTGGAAATTGCGACAAAACTTGTCAAGTATATGTATGTATGTATTTATGTACGTGAAATCCGATAATATTTTACGTCCGATCAAGATATAATCGATCACGCAACTTGTATAATGATTGTGTTACAACAAAGAAATAATACTTCAGCCAAGATATAAAGAATATGTATAATCAGCAAAAGGAGAATAATTCTACGTGAAAAAATAAGTCGAAATTGTATAGAAGAAAATTTTACAAAATACATATTTGTGATAACTGTTTATTTAAACCAGCCACTTGTCAATAATTAGATAGATGTACACGTTGAAATTATTTATAAATGTGGTTATATATTAATGTAACTGATGGAATTGCACATTGCACATTGCACGTTTACATAAAATAAAAAAAGATTAGATTTTCGTTTATTTTAAGTAGCGGCGACTTATACACAGATGCTATTAGAAGAGTATTATTTACAAATGAAGCGCCATCCCCCGTTATTATCCTATCCACTACACACACACACACACGCGCGCGCGCGCATAACTGCGATATATGTTAACTTCTTGATTAAACATTCTAACGAAGATGAGTTCTCTCATTTATTTATTTTTTCAAAAGCACTCGCGCACGTGCTCTGCGAAAGAAACGACGCAGACCTCACTTATTTCACTTAACACTTAGACAACAATTTCACTTAACTTTAAACACTTGTAGCTTCTCTAGGAAAAAAAAATTATAGGATACATGTATACTTTAGAATTATATATAATAGCAAGCGAGCGAGCGAGCGAGAGAGAGAGAGAGAGAGAGAGAGAGAGAGAGAGAGAGAGAAAGAGAGAGAGAGAGAGTCAGCCAGTCATTTATCAATGAGATTGTGCATTTGTCATAATGATAAATACATAGATTAGAGCTAAATAGATAGCATGAATGATGAGACCTTACATGAAGCTGGGGGTACAAGTACCGCCTGTATCAAGCAACGCAATTCGTCGTGCGATGTGCTCAATTCGCTTGTGTTTGCAATTTGCATTTTTGTGGGCATGCGTCTTCTCTATTCCGCACAGGACACAAAGACGGACTTGAGGATTACCGAGAACTGCTTGGCAAGAACGTCTCCCCGTCTTTTTTTCCTCATCTGTCCGTCTCTTACTCTTTTTCTTATCCATCTCCTTTTTTGCCTTTTCAAACGACTAACAACCTGGTTGGTAACGACCTTGCTATTATTCGCTTGAAGAAATTCATCGACCTTTCATCGATCAGTAAAGTTGATTCGTCGCGTCATTCGGTAAAAATGGCTTATCAATTGCCCTTATTAATGCAAGATTTTTTTCAAAATTTTCTCTCTCTATTCCACAAAAAATACTTATATTTAGACATTTAAAAATATTCAGAATGTGCTGTCGGAATATATATTCTTCTTATATTATGTATCGTGTCTCTATCATAAATCCTCTAATATTTACGAAAATATCACTTGTCATTGTCAGAGAGTCTTGAAAAAGTAGTTGTTAAGATTTATTGTAAATGAACTAGGGCTAATAGCTTTTAAATCTTTTCTCGCGAATATCCCCGCAAACGTTACGAAGAACGCAAAATCAGATCATGAGTAAGCATACTCTGTTGCAACCGTTGCAACTGCTTGACAGACTATAAATACGCTGACCGTATATCCCATCCTTCGCGCCTATAACTCCATGCTTGTTTTAAAAACCAACGCCCGCATTTTGTTTATGTCGTTGCAATTTGTTTTGACTCGCTTTGACGTGTGCTTTCACGAACATCCCTGTTTATGCTAACTGCTAAAACATCAGATACCAGTAGCGAGAGAGAGAGAGAGAGAGAGAGAGAGAGACGACGGGATTTGACAAAGTTATAAACAGTATTAAACAAGCAATAAAATACTGAGAAAAGAATGCGGTGCGAATGATACTAACGAGAAAGAATTATGCGAGACATCATACGTGCATAATGTTTCGCGTGCAGAATTGGCCGTTAAATTGAAGGTGACTGGATTTCAGGGTCACCGATCAAAGTTATCTTTATTTAGATTCCATTTAATACGCAGAGAATATAATATATCGTAATAAAAGGTGAACTCCCTGCCTTAAACATGTACGAATAGAGATAATAACGGACACTGTAATAATGCAATGTAAAAAACGCGCACACGCGCGTGTATATGTATTTTTCTCAATATTTCAATAAACATGTAGTTTGTATGATAATCCTTTGAGAGCAATTGATTTTTTTCTCCCTTAGATTAATCTCTCTCAGAACATGAAAAATAATAAATAATATTTTTAATCTTTTTATTTCGTAAAAATTATACTTCAAATTTCATAAAATTAATATAATAACGTTACTATATAAT